GCGAGCGGAATGCGCAGAACGAGCAGAACGAGCGGAAAGATGAGACCGAATGCGGCTCGGAGCTATCACCTGGACATCAGCCAGCTGCGCGCGTCGTTGTCTTTGAGAGATGCGGCTCGCATGAAGCATTGACGGCACGTAAAGGCGCAGGGAACTCGCCGATATTATTGGCTTCTGAACCTGCTGCGGACGGAGATTGCGGGGCTTGCGGAGGTTGCGGAGGCTGCGGAGGCGGCGGAGGTTGTGGGGGTTGCGGGGGTCACGGAAAACCCTCAGACTATGATATTTCGACGCTTGCACCGGCGGGTTTCGCGCATCGCCTTTCGTTCTCGATGGACGAGGCGACCCTGAGCGACGTCGCTCGGCGAGCGTGCGAATCGTCTCGCGAATCATCGTCGCATCGTTCGCCTGACGCTTCGGCTCGCCGCTCGTCCTTTTCGTTCAACCCTCCCCCCCTGGTTCCTGGGGAAGGGGAAGCGTCTGTGAGCGAAACCTGCGATGTGGGTTTCGCGACGGGCGAGGTCGGCGAAAAAGAATCGGCCACAACGCAGCAGCAGCAGCAGCAGCAGCAGCAGCAGCAGCAGGAGGAGGAGGAGCAGAAAGATGCAGAGAGGTGCCGATGTGAGAAATGGATGGCTTTTCAGCAGTCGATCGCAGAAGCAGAAGCACCCGATGATGACGCCACCGCCGCGCCCGCCACTACTACTAATACTTTTGAGGCGCTTCCTAACTCAGCAGCTGACGTCAGTGATGGCGACTGCTCCGTTGCGACTTCAATTGGCGGGTTACAAGCTCCATGTCCTACCGACGCCGCCGCCGCCGCGGAGGCGGAGGAAGCGGAGGCGGAAGCATCAGCAGTTGCGGTATCAGTTGCGCCGTCAGTTGCGCCGTCAGGTGCGGCAGCAACAGAGACGCTGTTTTCCCGGCGAATGAAATCTCAGTCGCACCCGGCGCCGCGGGTAGTACCGGTATTAGGCGATACTACAACGGGGACGCGCAACTTTCCCTTCCCCCTGGCCCGGGGCCCAGAAAGCGCAGGCACCTCGCGCAATTCTCCTCTGCGCAACTTCCCCGCTCCGCGCAGCTCGTTGCACAATGACAGGTTTCCGCCACCAGGGGCGGCGGTCACGGCGGCGTTTCCGCCAGAGCCATGGGTTATCTGCGGAAGCAGTACCTACCAATACACACCGCCTCGCGTTGCTAGTCAGCCGTTTCAGTCTTGTACTGCAAGCGAGTTGCCTCGCGTTACAGTCACATCCATGGTGACAGAAATCGCGTACGAGCCGCTACCCGAAGGCCTGTTCACCCCGATTTCCCCGTTATCCGCCGCTTCCGCCGAGTCCGCGCGTTCCGCCGCTTCCGCGCAATTTTCCCCGGGCGGCCATTCCGGGCGGTTTTTCGATTCCCCCAGCGCGTCTTCGACTGCCTCCGTCTCTTCCGCGTCCGTTCTTTCCCCCGGCGCTTCGCCTTCATCTTCCCCCGTCGCACAAAGACTCGCGCCGCGGCACAGGCGACAGTCGTCCGCGTCGCACGCGACGACGCCTCCGCCAATCACGTCGCTGCAAGGCGAGGTGCCGCGCTCGCCGCCGGGTCCGTTCCGCCGGCGATCATACTCGTTCGCGTCGCTCAACACATTTCAGCTGCAGCGGAAAATCCAGGCGTCCCCGTCCCCGTCCCCGTCCCCGTCCCCGTCCCCGTCCCCGTCCCCGTCCCCGTCCCCGCCTATGTCCCCGTCTCTCGCGCCGTCTCTCGCGCCGTCTCTCGCGCCGTGTGTCGTGCGCGCGGAAGGGACAGAAACAGGCGGACAGGGGGCTGCGGGAGCGCGCGCGGAGTCAGGCGGTGCAGCAGGCGCAGCGACGGCAGCGTCGACTCTAGCGGAAGCCAGGGCGGCTCGTCTGTCCACGTCAGCAGCAGCAGCAGCAGCTGCTGCCGCCAACCCAGGACGAACTAAGATTTTCGCATCCGTGCCCCTCAATAAGCCACCAAATCTTTTATCGCCAGCAAATCTTTCATCACCCGTGGTTACTGGTTATGCTGGTAGCTGTGCGAATGTTGCTTCCAGTCCGCTTCATTCGCACGCCGTTGGAGAAGCTGGCGTGCCGGAGTTCCCTCGGTGGGGATCTACAGTGAATCGCTCTACAGTACACGGAGCTACAGTTGAAACTTCAACACACCAAGGGGCTACAATAAAGTATTTTACAATTAACGAGGCTGCAGTACCATACGTCCCTAGCAGACGACCCACCGTCTCAAATTCCGCAGCCTCCCCTGCTTCTCCAAATTCCCCCCGAGGGTTTGTCGGATCAGCGAGGGACGGTCCGGCGTGGGGGGGGGAGCAGAACGGGGGGAACATCAGGGGAGGCGTAGCGCAGGCAAACATCGGGGGAGTGGCACAGCAGTGGGGCACATCGTTGGGGGTGGGGCTGCGTGGTGGGGGATGTGTGAGGGGAGGCGCTGCAACGATGCGGATGCGCGTGCACCACCAAGGGATGAATGCTGCGAGACATGTCTTTGGGCACGTGCGATCAGAATCAGCTGGGCAGGTTGGCGGTTTGCTGCAAGACATGTCGACAGGCACAAGCGTGGGGGGGGATGTGTGAGGGGAGGCGCAGCAACGATGCGGATGCGTGTGCGCCAAGGGATGAATGCTGCGAGAAATGCCCACGGGCACATGAGATCCGAATCTGCTGGGCAGGTTGACGGGTTTCTGGCAGCGTATCACGGTAAACAGACCGATGAAAATGGAGGTAACCAGCAGATTGGCAGGCTGAAGGGCGGAGTGGTTGAAGCCATGACGGTAGGAGCAGGAGCAGCAGCAGCAGAAGCAACACGACCAGGGGTAGCAAGAGCATGATCACTGTGGGTCCCTGTGGTGGGGTGGTGGTAATGCAGCATGTCAAGAGCACCACCAGCATCTTCTACAGTATCCAGAGGGAGAATCTGGTGGTTTGATACCAGCTTGATAAGAAATAGTGGATACAGTAGTTCCACTCTTGGTTTTCTAAGGAAGTGGATGGAGCGGGAGGTTCACGCTTAGTGCGAGCATGCTTTCTGCGGAATGGGACAGTCGTTGACATGCGTGGGAGCCCACTCTTGCATAGAAAGGAATGTTCATATGCAGAATAAAAGTTGCCTGCTACAAGAGCAGCAGCAGCAGTAACAGCAGACCTGAATGCAACGAATCCTGGAAAGGAAAGGGTGCTGCTCTTGTCGTGCTGTCATTTCTGCTAAGCGTGTGTCTGGGCTGTATGCTGGCTGGGAGTGACTCGCTGTGGTAACAGCCACAGCGGCTGCTGGATCACATGGAACTGAAAGGGCCTTACAAAGTGTTATGGTGGGTATATATCGACCAACATTTGATATCAGTTATGTACACCACTCATCATCGACAAAAAGGTTGACTGGGGAGTGAAGAGTAATCTTACTGGAGTTGTGAATCAGCACTACCGTACCTTTGAGGACATGCATCTGCCAGCAGTCGTAGGTGTGTGTTAGATAGGAAAGTAATTATATTAGAATAAAACGCGTTCTGCTTCGGCCTTCTTTTCTATACTAGCGAGAAGGCGTGCAACTAAGGCATTGCTAGGATGACAGACAAACAAACGCCAGGCTGGCTTGATGCTGAAAATCTGTCGCTTCTGTCCAGACGCTGGTTGTTTGGTACAGCAGACGATCTAAACTCCAACTGCCAGCGACAATGTGATTTGATCTGACGGCTACGATTACTCGTGACTCTTTTCCACGCCTAAACCCTCACAAGCTCGACCTCTGAGCCAGACCTCACTTTGACGACAACCGTCGATGTATTATCCCATGCCTGCAGAAGAGACAACAGAACGTACCTGATAATTCACCCTCAGGGCTTCCATACCTACGTACGGAGGACAAGCCTCCCCCCTCACTCCCTTCGTCACTTTCACCCACGCCAGCAGCAGCACCACCACGGTCCAGCCAGGCGGAACGTTGAAACAGGCCAACAGGCCCGGTTCGGAAAGGATGACATTTTCAAGGTTCACCTCAGCGCCTGCTGCTGGTCCGTCACAAGTATCCGGTTACCCTCAAAACCAGTTTTGAACATTCTGTTTGTAAACTCAACCGTTGTAGATCGCACTAAACATGGCTGATAACGCCCTCACAGTTCTTTGACAGATAACCCCGACTCCCACTTTTGCTCATTATCCCACTCAAACGTTCTATATTTGTATTTGACCGCGCTCAATCACAGAGGGACTCACTTATTGTGATGAGAGCAGGAGGGTGCTTTCAAATGACGGTTCCCTAGAAATTGTCGGCCATTACCAGCTTTGTTTTCCAGCCGAGTGCCAGAGTCCACTAGAGTAGTAGTTACAGGACGTTCTCAGGATTAGACGCCATCGAAGTTTCCTCAAGGTAGTGTTGCCGATTGTTAGGTTATCTGGTGCTGTTGCGATCATAGCTTAGCACAACTGTAAATTGGCTTCGACATGGATTTCGGACCTGAAGGGTCGTTAGTATACCGCAAGTTTCTGTTAGCAAGCCCGGCAAGTGCCACGTCAGCTAGCAGTACTGCCAATTTAGTCCATCCAGTTTCCCCCTGGCACGACTTACCGCTTCGGTTTGACTCTAACGATGGCACAATTCCCGCCACGTTATCCGCCGGTGACTGTATCGAGATGGTCTGCACTACGCCTAAAGGCTCGTGGTTACAGTTAGAAGTAGCCGTTTCAGAGCTTTATCAGCCGTTGAGACTTCGCGAATCGAACGGTGCTCCCGCGCACTACCAGGACAATGTACAGTGGAACCTCGGAATTATCCCGCAAACGTGCTCATGCTTTAGCGAGGACGACGAGAATAACGGGAGCGGTCCGGACCCGTCGAAACAGCACGGTCCAGTAGAAATAATCGATATAGGATCCGCGCCTGCTGACGTGGGATACGCGTACCGCGTGAAACCAATGACGGCGTTTCTGGTGATAAGTCCTAATTTAAAGACGACCCTGAAAATAGTCGGCATTAATTCTATGGACCCGGTCGCTGATAAGTTATCGTGTCTAGACGACTTGCAGAGACACGCTGGAGGGAAGCTTGCGGAGATAAGCGAGTGGCTCAAAACGTCAGCCTGTGTTTCAAGATGTGAGTTGCTACTGCTGGTCTGTTTGCTGGCTCATTGCTGTTTTTGTCCTTGTTATTCACAACCTCGTCCTTTTCGCTTGATTATAGCGAGGCAATTTCAACACCCATGATCCGTCATTTCCTGATGTCCACAACTAGTCTCCTGGACAAAAAGGTTGATTTATTACAGCAGGCAACTAAGCTCTCCTATGGTATTGTGTATTTTTTTCGGAAACGACCAAAATTATTAGCATTTCTTAATATCGTGAAGGCCTATTACTGATGTCAGGGAAATATGAGATACGCCAGCACATAGAGCTATAAAGTAATTGAAGCTCTCTAGAACAATCTGAAGAATCGTCATTACTTATCATCCGGAAAAAGGTATTGTTTCTAATGTCATCTTTCCCCTCTTTCCCTACCTCCCCACCCCCTTACCCTTTCCCGCTCTCTCTCCCCCACTTCAATTTCTTACCCCGTCCTTCCCCATCCCGCGCATTGCGTCTCCTTTCAAACGACGTACCCAACACGATCGTGACGTTTTAGAAGAAGCGTTTTGAGACATCTCAAAACACTTCCTCCCTCCTTCCCCATCCTGTGCACTGCGTCTCCTTTCAAACGACGTACCCAACACGATCGGCTACCGCATCTCAAGTCGACTCAATATCTCATTTCTCCCTCCCGACCCCGCGCATTGCGTCTCCTCCTCAGACGACGTACCCAACACGATCGGCTATCGCGAAAAGCCCGTCCCCACGGACCGAACGCTCTCCCTCCTTTCCAAAGCGCATGCTGCCTGGCACACCTACCACAGCACCCACCACAGCCCCCACTCCGCCTCCGCCGCTTCCGCCGCCTCCGCGCCCAACCGCCCGCCCTCCGCCGTGCACGCGAGGGATCTGCGGAAGCTTGTAGAGAGCACCGCGGGCGGGTCACTGGACGATCCTTCCGCCACTGGCGCATGCGTGCCGTTTTCAAAGCGAGAAGGCGCAGGGGGAGCGGACGCGGGGGGGGGCGGAGGTGCGGTGACGGGGATGGGAGCGGGGGCAGGGGTGGGGACAGGGGCGGGAACTGAGGCGGGTTCAGCGCACCCTGTGGCGGCGAAAGCAGGTCCGGCGGACGACTTGAGGCGGAAGCTTCTCGCGTCGAGCTCAGCGCGAGGTCCGGCGGGTGCAACACCGAGAGACAGGGTAACCGCACACCGGCGAGCTTCGTCTGTGTCGTTTTTCGCCCCAGGCGCATCGGATTTCGGGACGGGCATGGACAGTCCGCCTCACGGGTTTCATTCTCGGACGGGGAGCCCTAGCGGTGGGAGCGGCGGGGGTGGCGGAGGTGGTGGGGGTGCGGGGATTGGCGGAAGTGGTAAACCCCCCTCGCTAAGCCCTCGCATGCAACAGCCGCCTTCGTCGCAGTTCGCAGCGTTTCCCGGCGGCAGCAGCGTGGGGGGAGCGAGCCCCGGAGGCCGTAGGGTGAACAGACACGCTCGAGCGCAAAGCGTCAGCTTCAGCCCGCATATGGATTTCAGCAGCAGCGGCGGCGGCGGCGGCGGCGGCAATACTGGTGGCAGCGGCATTACCGGTAGCACCGTTGGCAGCACTGCTAACGCTTTAGCCCACGGCTCTTCCCCCCACCCTGGCGCAGCAGGGGCTCAGGCGGGAGGCGCCCCGGCGCCCGGCGCAGGGGGGAGCAGGGGAGCGGGGCTGGCGCCGCCGGGACTGGTTAAGGGCGGAATGGGCAGGGGGGGGCGGATGGGGCCTTTGGGCGGAGGGGGGCTTGCTGGGGGAAGGGCGGGTCCGGGGAGGGGGATGGGGCGCGGGGGATTTTTCAGGAGCGCGTCTGTGGACGGGGGAAGGGGGGCGGAGGAGGATGGGGGCGCGGATGGGCCGCTGGTGAGGCGGAGGAGTGGCGGAGGGGGGAGAGACCCGCCTGTCGTTGTCAAGCGGGTGGGGATGCCCCCCTCTGGCCCTGCGACAGGCGCAGGAGGAGTCGTAAGCGGAAGCGGAGGAGGCGGGGGCAGTGGCGGAAGCGCGGGGGTTGATGGAAAGGAGACGTCAGGTGTGTTACTGATTGAGATTGGGAGCAAGGGGGGTGAGGGGAGTGAGAAGGGCAAGGAGAGCGGAAGCAAGGCGCAAGAGTGCAGCAGTGCGGACCAGGATTCGACATTTACCTTCCCTCAATTAGGAGGGGCGATTGGCGATCCAGGTTTGGAAGGTGCTTCTAACGGAGGTGGTACTAACGAGGAAGAGGAGTACACCGCGGATTTGGACAGTAGTGAGGATGACTGTGACGAGGATGATGGGGACATTGTGGAGTGTAAGGCTGCGCCAGGGGCATCTGCTACAGGGCGAATGCCGCTGAATGTATCTGTTAACGAGGATGATGATAAGGAGGATGAGGACGACTGTGTGGTTCTAGCCTCGCCTCTCGTTTCCGCCCAGCCGCAGCAGCCACAGCAGGAGCAGAAGTCCCAGCAGCAGCAGCAGCAGCAGCAGCAAGGGACTGATGCAGCAGCAGGGTCAAATTCTCCTAACGGGTTTGTAACAGCAGCAGGAGCAGCAGGAGGAGCAGTCAGGAAGCTGAACTGCGATGTAGCATCTGGGCAGAACGGCGGGCAGAACGACGGGGAGGAGGAGGACGCGGATGGGGATGGGGATATCCCTCTAGCCTCCCCTCTGGCCAAGTACCCCCCTGCCAGCCCCCTGAAAGCCCACGCCCACGCCCATAACCAGCCGTTGCTGAGCCCCCTAAGCCGCGGCCCTCTGGCTTCTAGCTTCAGTGCCAACCCCCCTCGCCCTGGTAGCCCCCTCACACGCGTTCCCCAGCAGCAGCAACAGCAGAGTGAGAGCAGCGGTGGTGGCGGTTTCACGGATTCCTCTGGAACGGTTGTGAACCAGAGCCTGCCGCGGCGGCTCGTGAAATCAGGTTCGGAGCGCGTGGGTGGGGCTCCAGGGTCGGGAGGAGACGGCAGCTTCAGAAGCAGCAGCAGTGTTGGTGCTGCTGCTGCTGGTGGTGGTGGTGGTGGTGGCAGCGGCCGTGGTTTCAGCAGTGGTGCGGGTAACGAAACCACCAGTGTGTCGAGCCCAAGGAGGTTTCTTAAGTCAGGTTCGGAGCGAGGCATGGCCGGACCAGGATTTCCTTCGTCGTCCGCCCTTCCTGTCGCCCAGGTTCTCGAAGGCCCTCCGTCAGGCGCTGCTGGGTGTGCAGCAGCAGAGGCTGGGAACTCATCAGGCCATGTGAGTGTGCCCGAGCAAAGGCTTGGAAGGGACATTCGACACACTCGCATGCTGGGGAATGGGTCGCTCAAAGAGCAGGGGACCCGGGGATGGGTGGAGAGCGGTGGAGGGGGAGGAGGAGGGGTGGGGATGGGTGCAGGGGGAGCAGGAGGGCATGGGTCGAGGTTGGGAGGTCCCCCTGGGATACCCAGGCAGTGGAGCGCAGGGGAACCAGGCGGGAGTGCTGGGGGAGTGAGTGGGGGCAGCGGGCCTGGAGGAATGCCAGGCCATGCCCATGCGCATGCTCATACGCACTCGCATGGCCATGGGCATGGGCATGCGGCAGGGGTGCCCAGGCAAAGGAGTGTTGGGGAAATGGTTGGGGTAGGGCAACAGCAGGGCAGTGCCGCCGGTGCTGCTAGCACCAGTCGCGTGCATTTCCCACCGGAGCGCATGGCTGGGCGAGGGGAGGGGGGTGGTGGGCAGGAGGGCTCGTTTGACCAATGGCAGGTTGAGGAGCCTGTCTCAGGGGGGGATGGACAGGGAGGGGGGGGTGCGGTGCAAGGTCCTGGAGCAGCAATGGCAGCAGCAGCAGCAGGAGGAGGAGGAGGTGTAGCAGGAGGGGGAGGGGCACAGGGAGGGGTGCAGATGCGCATGGGTAGGCCATCATCCCCTCAGCTGGGGGGTCGACCCACTCCTCCCCCCGGCCATGTGTCCCCGCACAGGGCTCGAAGCTCCCGCCTCAAGGATAGCAGCCCTTCAGGTGGGCTGCCAGCAGGCCACAGCAGTTCAGGTGCTTCTCCAGGTGCTGGTGGAGGAGGTCCGGGCGGCGTAGCTTCAGGTGGTATCAACAGAGCGGAGATTGCGGCCGGCAGGCGGGCGGCATGGAGGAGGAGCAGCAGCATCGGGGCCGGCGAGACTCGGAGCGGAGTGGCGGACATGCCAAGGCCGACTTCGCCGCAGCTGTTTGGAAGCATCAAGGAAACAGCCAGGGAAGGTGCTTCGTTCTCTGCATTCCAGGGTCAGCACCACGTGCAACAACATGGGCAGCAGCAGCAGCTCTCAGCGCAGCAGCAGCAGCAGCAGCAGCAGCAGCAGCAGCATCAGGTGGGCGGCAGAAGCAGCCCGTCCCAGGTGTCACCTTCCAAGTGGAGGCCTCAGCTCGGCACAGTCAATTCTTCGATGCCAGTAAGAATGGCAGGTGGATCTGGGGCAGGCTCATCCGGTGGAGGTGTTACTGCTGGTGGTGCCAGTGGTGGTGTAGGGGAAGGTAGTGCTGGTGGGATTGCTGGGCATCAGCAGCAGCAGCAGCAGCAGCAGCAGCAGCAGCAGCAGGGTGGCGTGGTTCGGCCTAGGACTGGTCATGCTCGTAGGCATTCATTTGCTGTTGGATCTGGGTCGTTTGATTTTGCGTCTCAACCACCAAGCTCGTAAAGGTGAATTGCCCCTTTTCTGGAGGCGGGGGTTATGCGCTCTGGAGGTTATCTTTTATTTGTTTTGCGCTCTATTTTGGTTAGTCGTTTCAATAAATTAGGACAAAGTATGGTCGATGTTTCCATATGGACTAGCCTGTGCTTTCAATCTGTAGTTTGCAACTATGTTCAGTTCAGTTAGCAACCACGTTGACAATACAGTTGCAGAACAAGAGCACCAACGACTGTCTTGTAACGAGGTCGTTCCACTGTGCAGTCGTGCACTATCAGGACCGCTCGAGGATATGACAAGGGGCTCCACCTGTGCTGACGTGGCTCACAAAAAGTCGTCTCCACTGCCCGTCTCTCATTGACCGACACTGCATTGGCCGAACGTGGGTGCTCCTCTGCACCATGGATGGCGCGGTTCGTGAACTAGAAGAGTATGGCAGGTAGTACACGACAAACTTTGATTACGCGAAGCAACGCCTATGATGACGACAAATGTGTTTCTGAGCAACCGAGTCGCACTGTGCTCTGCCCCATCCAGCACAGCTGAGGAATAAGGCTACTGTACACACTCAATCCCCCCTCCAATCTTCGTAAACACCTGTATAGTACTCGCACACCGCACTGTCCTCGACACCACAAACAGGTTCCATTTCAACTTTCAAGACGGACTGCAGTGCTCCATTCCGGCATTGCGAGCGAGAGGTTTCAGGTTAGGAGGGGCGTGTCCAAGCCAAGCTGGTTCGTGCACCAATGGGTTGACAAAAGAGGAAGGTTATGGTTGGTTTGGGTTTGTCAGTTGAAGCTCAACCTCTCCCTGCAAGCAAGGGCCGTTTTGCTAAGTGTTTATATTTGTTCTCTCTGCACATTACGGGGATTTTCTGTTCCAGTTCCACCAAATCCAGGGCTTTCCGGCTACACCCTCGTTTGAAAGGTTGTCAATGGAATTTGTAGAAAAAATAATCCCTTAGTTGGCAGTTGGGATCAAGGTTGTAGGGGAAACCCCCTCTGGTATACCCTGGCTGTCGATCGTAATCGGCCTACCCACTTATTTAAACGCCTCGCTGGGTATCGATACCCAGATGAGCAGTACGAAACCCCCTTCTGGGGGGCTGGCAGAACTCGCCGGCACTGGTTGGGAATTTTTTCGGATCGCAGGGTGGTCCAGCACAGAAAAAAAGGTTGTCTGTCTTCCCTTTCTTCCCAACTTGGGAAGTGACTTGGGCTCGGTCAGGACGTGCACGCACGAGCAGTGTGGGTGGGGATAGGGGAAGGTGTTGGAAGTGGTGATGGTGGTGATTCGAGAAAAACCAGTTTCGTGCACGGAATTGACAGCAGCTTTGGGACATCGGAGATGACTTCTGATGTTTTGTAAAAGCATCGGATACCTCTAGCGGGATAGACCACGACCACTTCTCGAGTTAGACGCGCGCAGTTAGAACTTCTACCATGAATCGTTGTTTAAATCTCTAGGACGCTGTTTGCATCCGCTGCCTTCATGAATCGCTATTTTCTCGCTGACGGATGGTCCGTCGTCGAGTTCGGAACCGTCGGTTCTCCCGCGTATCGATGGCTCTTCTTCGATCCTTCCGCGCGGCCGTTTTCTCCGTGGCACGATTTCCCCTTACACTCCAAGCACGGCTTCTATCACGTCCTCTGCCTCACGCCGCGCGGCTCCGCCGCGCGCATCGAGGTTTCCGCGGATGAGGATTTCGACCCGCTTCGTCCCGTGGCTTGCGCCGCCGGCGGTGGCGACTGCGGCGGGGCAGGCGGAAAGCTCGCGACGGCACGATTCGCGACGGAGGCGCCGTGGAACCTTGGGATTGCGCCGGAGACGTGGCAGGATCCCGAGTCGCCAGGCTACAGCAGCGGCGACGGCGGAGGCGGAGGCGGAAGCGGAAGCGGAAGGGAGTCTTGGGGAACGGAGATTCCGCCGAGCGGGACTCCCGTGGAGGTGATTGAAATCGGCGCGCAGCAGGGGGAGACGGGACAGCTGTACGCGGTAAAGCCGCTCGGCGCGATTGCCGTAGTAGCCGAGTCCTGCGACGGGTTCGCGACGTCGGCGACTTCGCACGAGCGTGGGTCCAGCGTCGAATCACCTGGGCGACGTCGCGTGATGTCGTGGACAATTTTGGGGATATCGCTTGCCGACCCGCGGTCGCACGTACTGAATGACTTAGAAGATCTCGCGTGGGAGATGCCTGGAGAGTTGGAGCGAATCAAACTGTGGATAAAAACGTGCTGCGGTGTACATGCTTCAAGAAATGGTGGGAAAAACAAATCTGTGACTTCGAGCGAAGGCGAAGCTGGTTACCAGCGGCGATGGTTGGCGTTTGACGAACGGGCATGGGGTCGCGAACGCGCGATCGAGGAGCTGACGATCGCGCACCAATCGTGGCAAATCATGCACGACGAGCTTCCAGCCCCCGCGCCGTTCCTGCACGTCGATTTGCCGAACCTTGGAGTCTCGGGATCTCCGGACGCGGTTGGGAAGAACCTCGATAGAGACGGTTTCACGAGCGGTGTACAGTGCACGGGGATGTACAGTGACGATTTTTTCAAAATGCCAGATGATGGTAGTGAAAATGGAAGCAGCAGTAGCAGCAGCAAGAGCGGAGCTTTGCCAACACCTGAGGCTCTTGAGCGACTGTGGACTCCGGTATTTGAAAAATATAATGACGGTGGATTTTTTGGTACTCGCCATGGTGATTTTCATTGTAGCGGTGATGCGAAAGTTGGGCAAGTGTTGGTGGAAGGCAGGAATGCCACTGTAGCGAGGATGGATGGTCGCATGCAACGTGCAGCTTCTGGGAGCAGTGTGAGCCACAGCAGCAGCGGCAGCGGCACTAGCGCTGACGTCAGAGGCATGGGCAAGAGCAGCAGCTACAGCAGCCGCAGCTACAGCCGCAGCAGCAGCAACAGCAGCACAACCAATGAGTTATCGTGCGATTCACACAGCAACATAAGTGGTAAGGCAACTGGTAACACACACGCAAGTCGTAACACAGCAAGCAACATGAAGGATGGGAAAAAGGACGGCAGCAGGAAGAGGGATGGCGGTGGCATTGCGGCTAGCATACGCCGACTGCTGCCGCCCACCCCAACCTTCCACGCCCATGTGACTATATGGGGGGATTCGGGCAGGGCCCACGCGGAAACCAGTCACGGCTCGTCTCATGGTAAGCCGATACAGTCACCCAGTCTTCAAGCTTTACAGTCACACTCGTTACAGTCACATTCTTTACAGTCACGTGGCGCCAAGACGCCGGGTGGACGGCTGGAGAGTGGAGGGTGGAGGGATGAGGAGGAAGAGGAGGAAAGGGAGGAGGAAGAGGAGGAGGAGAGTGAGGAGGAGCAAGAGATTTCTCCACCTGTTCTGGTAGTTCCTCCTTTGAATGCTGTAAGAAGGGGCTTGGGAGGAGACAGCAAAAAGCTGACTGCTGCTCCTCCTGCTGCTGCCGCACCTGCTGCTGCTGCTGCCCCTGCGGCTGCTGCTGCGGCTGCTGCTGCGGCTGCTGCTGCGGCTGCTGCTGCTGCTGCTGCTACTGCTGCTGCTGCTGCTCCGTCTCCTGTTGCTCCCGCTGCTGGGGATGCCGGAGGCATGGAGAGAGGGGCGAGGATGAGGGGGAGGCATGAGAGGGGTCGAACGAGGGACTTTCTCTTCCCTATAGACGTCCCCGTTACCGCACAGAGTGGGGGGCCGTTGGCTGGGGTGGCAGAGGGTGGTGGGATTGATCCCCCTGCAGCAGACATGGCCGCACGCACAGGCACAGGCACAGGCACAGGCACAGTCATAGAAGCAAGAGCAGGAGAGGGGACAGAGGCAGGAGCAGGGGAGGGAGCAGAAACAGCAGCAGCAGGTGCAGCAGTAGCACCAGCAGCACCAGCAGCACCAGCAGCTGCATCCGCAGCAGGAGGTGGGGTTCTCCCATCCCCCAGGACGCACATCCAGGTGCCCACGCGTGCTTATATGCGGAGGGCGCACCGCAGGAAGAGCCTAGAGGGCATCTCCCAGGTGCCCTCTGTGCCGGAGTGTGACAATAACGAAGGGCGCGGGGCGGAGGGCGCGGGCAGGGGGGGCAGGGGAGGCAGGAGGAATTGGGGGAGCAGGGGGAGCAGGGGCAGTTGGGGGAGCAAGGGGAGTTTTAGGGAGATTCAGGAGGAGGGTGATTATAGTGAAGGGAAGACCGGGGGGGAAGAGCTAGGGGGAGGAGAGAGGAGAGAAGAAGCTGGGGTGGAAGTAGGGAGGGAGAAAGAGAGGGAGTTGGGTGGGGTGGATGGAGGTATTACTGGTGACAGCACAAGCAGCGTTACCAGTGACAGCATGGGCGGGGGGTTGGATCAAGGTATTGCTGGTGACAGCACGAGCAGCGTTACCAGTGACAGCATGGGCGGGGGTTTCATTAGGGCCCGCCGCAACAGCCGGAGCAGCTTTAGCAGGGTTACTGGTGAGAGCATGGGTGGTATTGCAGATGATTGCATGGGCGGGCATTTGGATCGGGGCATGAATAGGAGTTTCAGTGGGAGCGGTTTGAACAGCCAGAGCGGCCTGAGCGGCCTGAGCGGCCTGAACGGCCTGAGCAGCCAAGGCAACGGCCAGAGCAGTCTGAGCGGTCAGCGCGACCTCAACAGCTTGAGTGGTCCGAGCGGCCCGAGCAGCCAAGGCAACTGCCAGGGCGACAGCCTGAACAGCCAGAGCGGATGGAGCGGACCCAATGGACGGAGCGGGCCGAGCAGGATAGCTCGCCGAAGCATGGCTCGTGCGCTGTCCAGGAGAAGAGGATCGGCGTGTGAGTCTGTGCAGAGTGCCTATACGGAAGACGCTTTTGAGGGTCCTCGAAAGTCTGTTGAGTGTGACTATACGCGAGATGCTGATGTGGCGGGTCGTTCTGAGCGTGGGAAGTCTGGCGAGTGTGACTATGTGAGTATTTCGGATCTGGGGTCGTTGAAAGGAGGGGAGTCGGGGGAATGTGATTATGTGAGTATTTCGGATTTGGGCGGTTCTGAGCGTGGGGGTTCTATTGCGGAGTGTGACTTTGTTGAGTTGGGTGGCTTGAAACGCGAGGGGTTGACGTGTGACTCTACAGAAGGGGAGCAGACGGGGGTGGAGGTGATTGTAAGAGGAACAGGAGGAGCAAGAGAGGAGGAGGATAGGGGGAGTGAGGGAGAGGTGAACGAAGGATTAGTAGGGGTGGAAAGGGAGGAGGATGGGGGGAGTGAGGGAGGGGAGAAGGAAGTAGAAAGAATGGAAAAGGAGGAGAATGGGGGGAGTGAGCCAGGGGTGAAGGAGGGAGCAACGGAGGTGAACGCTTGTGGGGGAGGAAATGTGAGAGGAATGAAGGAGGAGGATGGAGGGAAGGAGATCAGAGAGGAGATAGAAGAGGAAGTGGGGGTGGGGTTGGGGATGGGAGTAATGGGAGGGGTGAAGGAGGGAGCGGCGGTGGGAGAGGAAGCAAGGAAAGGAGCGATGATTTCTTTTGAGGCGCCTCAGAAGATGAAAGAGGGAGCAGTGGTGGGAGAGGAATTAAAGGAGGCAAGGCAAGGAGCGATGAATGCATGTGGGGGACGTATTGGAAGAGAAGACGAAAAGGAGGATGGGGGGAAGGATATGAAAGTGGTGGCAGAGGGTGAGGAGAGTGATGAGGAGGAGGAGAGTGAAGTGGAGGAGGCGAGTGAAGAGGAGGAGGGGAGTGAAGAGGAGGAGGAGAGTGAGGAGGAAGGTGAGAGTGAGGAAGAATGGAGTGAGGAAGGAGAGGAAAGTGAGGAAGAACGGGAGGAGCAGGAGGAGAGTGAAGAGGAAGAGGAGAAAGAGGGTGTCAATGAAAGTCTTAAGGATAGAGCTGCAGAGTATGTGCAAGGGAATGTGGGAGGAGGAAAAGATGGAGAGAGGAGTGAAACTGAGGAGGAGGGAAGAAAGGAGGAAAGTGAGGAGGAGAGTGAGGAGGAGAGTGAGGAGGCTCGGAAGCTTCTGGAGGAAATAAGGTTTGCGGTGAGGAGGAAGATGCACAGGGAAGGGAAGCTTCCTCTGAACCTTGCTTCTGCTGCCGCCGCTGGTACTTCTGCTGCTGCTGCTAATGCTGTTACTGCTACTGCTGTTACTGATACTGCTGTTACTGATACTGCTATTACTGATACTGCTGTTACTGATACTGCTGTTACTGATACTGCTGTTACTGATACTGCTGCTACTACTACCGCTGCTACTGCCTCTGCTGCTACTGCCACTGCTGCCACTGCTACTACCACTACTACTTCTGGCAATGCTTGCAGTGATGGTGCTACAGCTGCTGCTGATGATCATGCTACAGACCCAACAGGGGCTCCTCCCCTCTCTCCTCTCCACCCCCTTCCCTCTCCTGCTCGTTCCCCCCTTCCTCCTCATCCCCTCTCCGCTGTTCCTTCTCCTCCCCGCTCTCCTCTCCCTCCTCGTCCTTCTCCTCCCCTCTCTCCTCTTCCCCCGCGTCCTTCTCCTCCCCTCTCTCCTCTCCCTCCTCTTCCCACTCCTGCCCGTTCTCCCCTTCCCCCTGCCGTGGCTCCTGCTGCTAAAATGCCACAAGCGCTGCTAACCAGGCCCAGAAGCACGTCAAGTCTAGCCAGTGCAGCTAGCGAAGACGCTTATAAGGGGTACAGTATGGCCGCTTCTGGCGAGGCCGCTTATAAGGGTGCTGCTTATGGTACGTCCGCTGCTGGTGAGGGGTTGTGGTGGGGAAGAAAAGCAGCATCAGGGGAGGCAGCAGCAGCAGCAGCAGCAGCAGCAGGAGCAACAGCAGCAGCGGGAGCATTTGCAACAGCAGCAGCATCAGTAGCAGCAGGAGCAGCAGCAGCAGTAACAGCAGGAGCAGCAGCAGCAGCAGTGGCAGCAGTAGCAGCAGGAGCAGTTGCAGTGGCTGCTGGCGGTGTGTTTGAATCAAACCATTCAGCATCAGCATCAGCATTATCATCAGCAGCTGCTGCTGCTGTTGTTTCTGGATTGAACCAGAATAAGGCAGCAGTGGGGGCTGCAGCAGCAGCAGTTGAAACTGGGGGTGGTGATGGTGGTGATGCAGGGAAAAGGGATGGAGGAGCAGGAGCAGGAGGCGCAGCAGCAGTGGAAATGAGTGAGGAGGAGAGGGAGAAGGAGAGAGTGAGGGAGAGGGGGAGGGAGCTGGCAGAACGGGCGCGGAAGCAGCGGCAGCAATTTGTGGAGCGACTAGAAAAGCGAAAGCAGATGGCTCGGTTGGGGGGGGTGAAGCAGGGGATGGGTGTGGGAGCAGGGAGTGGCGGGGAGGGAAGTGGAGGGAGTGGGGGAAGTGGGGTGGGAGGAGAGGAAGCAGCTGCTGCTACAGCCTCTGCTGCTAACGGCGTGTCTGCTGCTGGTGCCACGAGTGTTGCTGCTGCTGTTGCTGCCGGTTCGGTGGAGAGCGGTGCAAGCAGGTGCGGCGCGGTATCAGGGGCTGTGGAGCAGTCAGGTGCAGTTGATGCTGCTGCTGCTGCTGGTACTGGTGCTGCTGCTGGTGGTGTTTGGAAAGACGAGTCAACGCGGCAAGCCGAACTGCTAGCAAACAAAGGTAAATACCTCCTAAGGTCAATCACAATGTTACGAGAGGCACGGGCAGAAGAAGCAGAAGCAGCAGCAGCCGAAGCCGAAAAAATCCGCGCACAGACCGCAGCAGCTGCAGCCGCAGGGAGAATGAGCAGCAAGCAGCACCGGAAGCAGCACCAGCAGCACCAGCAGCACCGGCAGCAGCGGCGGTGTGTGCGTCGCCGCGGGCTGCATCAGAGGAGTATGAGTGAGGACCTTGTATCGCAGCTGCTTCTAACGGATTTTTCCCAGCTTGTTGACCTCTCTGCTGGCACACCCACACTCTCTCCCTCGCACTCTCCCTCCCTCTCCCCCTCTCACTCCCCTCCTCTCTCTACCTCCACCAATTCAACGGGGGGAAGTGGTGGGTTCGGGGGGAGTGGGAGGATTGGGGGAAGTGGAGGGTTGGGGGGGAGCGGTAGGTTGGGAGGAAGTGCGAGGCTGGGGGGGAGTGGGGGGGCGGGGGCTTATGTAGACTCATACACGAGTCTGAAGTCTCCTAAGGCGGAGGGGAGGGGAAGGGCAGTGGGGGGTAAAGTGACGGCTGCTGCCCTGCTGGCTGTGACACCACGAGGAGAGGGGGGGGGTGGGTGGAGAGGAGGGTGGGGAAGCGGAGGAGGAGGGGGAGGAGGAAGTGGGGGGGGAGGAGGAGGAGGAAGCGGGGAAGGAGAAAAGAGGGCGAGGAGAGGAGGAGGGGGGTGGCGGTTGGGTTTCCGGGATGAGGAGACGAGGAATGAATATGGGTTGCCTGATCTGGATGTGCAACGGACACAGAATGGGTATGGGGTGTCTAGGAGTGAGTGTGGGGGGCCAGTAGCAACAGCAGCTGAAGCAGAAGCAGAAGAAGAACCAGTATTTCGTCGATCGAAAACCATTGCTACTGATGGTGTGAGCTCATGGAAAGAACCCCTCTCCCCTGAAGCTCATGGTACCAAACGTGCTACTGATGGCAAGAAAGGGAGGAAGGGCAGTGAGGGTTATGGGTTTATTGGAAAGGAATGGGGGGGTGATTTGGATGGGGAAGGGGAAGGGGAGGAGGTGGAGGGGTTAGAGGAGGAGGACGAGGAGGAGGAGGAGGAGGTGCCGTTGGTGCAGCTGCTACGGTCGAGAACTATTGGGTCGGGATATGCATGCAGAGTGCTCGATTTGGAGGAGAGTGGTGCTGCTGCTGCTGGTGCTGCTTCTAATGGTGATGGCACAGCATATCCTGACAATGGTGGTACTGATGGTGATGCTGGTGGTGTTGGTGCTGATGCTGATGCTGGTGGTGGTGGTGCTGATGATGATGGTGATGGATCGAACGTGAACGGCCATAAGGCAGGCGGCAGCAGGCACAAGGGAGCAACGAAACTGGCAAAACGGGGGAAGGAGAAGAAGAATGCGAGGAGGGAAAGGGAAGGTGAAGGGGACAATATTGAGGGGGACACGCTCGAAGAGGCTGGAAAGGAGAGGAAACCTGGCAAGAAGAAGAAGAAGCAGCAGAAAGGAGGAGGGCGAGAAGGTGAGGAAGGGGAAGGGGAAGGGGAAGGGGCAAACATGCTGAATCCACGAGATAGTGCGAGTGAGGGAGTAAGTGTGGGAGTGAGTGAGGGAGTTAGGGAGGGAGTGAGAGAGGGATTGGGTGAGGGAGTTAGTAAGGAGGGCTCACAATGTAAGGCGAAGGAAGGGGGGGTGAAGGAGAAGAGGAAGCAGAAGAAGGATGGAAGCAGGACCAAGGCCAAGAAGGGAGAAGAATCTAAGGAGGCTGGAGAGACAAAGAAAATTGATGAGGCCAAGAAACGTGAGGAGGTTGCGGAGGGGAAGGAGCCGAGTCTTAGAGGGCCAAATGTTCAGCCACGGGGGCTTCAACCGCAGGCAGAAAGCAGCGGTGAGGGTGCCTTGTTAGTTGGGGGGGAGGAGAAGGAGCGAAGGCTCAGAGGCTCATCTGTTCAGCCGCAGCGGCTTCACGTGCAGGCAGAAAGCAGGGGTGAGGGTGCCTTGTTAGCCGGTCCTGTAGGGTTGGATGGAGGGAAGCGTTGGGGCGGCAATAGGGCTTTAAGAGTGGCCATTCCTTTGGATATTCCTAACGATGAAGATGAAGAAGAGGAGGAGGAAGAGGAGGAAGAGGAGGGGGGGAGGGAGAGGGAGAGGGGTGATTATATCAAACGTGCGCTCTTGCAACGTGGTGCTATGTCCGCCCGTGACTATATGGGGCGCTCATCGTTCAAACCAGCAGCTGTTTCCGCAGCGGGAGGAGCACGGGCGCTGCCGGCCCTGACACCAGGCCCAGCAGCCAAAAGGAAGCTGCCACGTGGCATGTCCCCCAAGCCAATCATGACACCGGAAGCCCTGGCAGCGTACTATGAGAAATCTGGAACCCCGGCCAATCAGATAACCCCTCGCATGGGAGCAGGGTTTGGGTCAAAGACCGGGAAAGGGATTGGGAGCAGGAGTGGCTGGGGCAGGAAAACCCCTGGTTCTTGTTCTGCTGCTGGTTCTGGTGCTGCAGCTTCAGATACGTCTCAAAAGACCCCTGGTGCTGCTTCTAATGCTGTTGCTGGTGCTGCTTCTAAAGTTGCTGTTTCATCCAGTAAGACCCCTAAGTGGATCTCCAGGGGAGTTTCAGGGGAAGGTTTTGGAAGAGGGCTTGATGGAGCATTGGAAGGGGGGTTGTTAGGGGGCTTTGAAGGGTGGGGTGAAGGGGAGGTGGATGCGGGGGGTGAAGGTTGGTGCGGAGGGGTTTCTAGGGGTGAACAGGGGGAGGAATACAGGAGTTTGTCTATGGTTGCTCCTAGATCAGTCACAGAGACGGGATTCGCCCGTCGAGGCAGCAGCGTCCCTGGAGATTCCAGGGGTGAGGTGCGGTGTGCAGGGGTTGACAGCAGCGTCCCTGGAGACTTGACCGCTCCGACTGTCATTATCCCTACTGTCACTACCCGTATAGGGACTCCTCCCTCCGGCACACCTCCTTCCATCACCCCTCCTAGAAGCACAACCCCTAAGAGCACACCTCCTAGAAGCACAACCTCTAATAGCACTACCCCTGTAAACACAACCCCTCCAAGAGGCACCACCCCCACTAGCACCACTCCTAAGAGCACTACGCCCAGGAGTAACACCCCTGATAGATGCACTGCTAATTATGCCAGTCTCAGCAGCACCACTCCTAAGGGGACTCCCCCTAAGGGCACCACTCCTAAAAGCACAACGCCTAAAAGCACAACCCCCAAAAGCACCACCCCAAGGGCCACCACACCAAGGAGCAACTCCCCAATTACCCCCACGGCTTCGTTCTCTCATCCGACAATACCCCCACTCACCTCGTCCCCTTTTTGGCCGCCTACCTGGGTTGCCCCTTGGAAGTCGAATGCCACCACTAGCAGCACCAGCAGCAGGGAGGCTCAACAACCACAGCAGCAGCAGGCAGAGGCTAAGACCAGTGTCGAGGGTGGTGTGCATGATGAGGGATATGAGGATGGGTGCTTGGATGCTCGGGACACAGACGAAGCAAACCACTCGAAGCTTCGGTTAATCCGTCATTTGTTGAGTAACTCGCAAAAGCAGGACAGTGTGAGCAGTGTGGATTTGCCGTAAGGTGTAGATTGTTGGAAACAAGTAATTAACGCTTCTTGTGTGTCGTAACATCAAGACGGTAAACGAGGCGAACTACAGCGCAGCAATGGCGAGTCAACCGAGGAGGTTGACAGAAAAGCAACAGCCGGAGGTTACACGAAGGTCAAAGGTCAGCGACCTTTGACTTAACAAATACAGCGCGACAACAAGGACAAACAACTGACTCGTTACTGAGCAGTTGCCCGAGTCGTCACTGTATCGAACCGCAACAGCAACAGTAAAACAATTATTAGTTGCACCCTTTCATATTCCTTGTAATCTTATAAAATATTGTACTACTTTTCTATAATCAATCTATCTTGCCCTCACACACCAGCGCAAGGTGGTTCAACATTTTATCATTAAACGCTTCCGCAATACAACATTCTTAACA